TAATTTTCATTCTTAGTAAACATATCTGGTGCAAAAAATAAAATTTTGGAAAAAAAAAAAGTGTGATAACTCTAAAGAAGAACTGTAACATTTTGCTTAATTCAAGTACTCTCTTAAGTTTTTGTTTGTTTGTTTGGTTGGGTTTTGTTTGTTTTTTTTAAGCGGGGAGTCTCCTTTACCTGAAACCTGGGCCACTATATCTACACTGTCTTGTAAATATTGTCCTCAGCAGTTTGCCCTTTCAGTGGGAATGTGAATCTTGCTCTTCTAACCATGAGAAGAGCCCTTTGTGGAAAACTCTGCTGGAGTGAACTGACAAGAATTAAGGCTAAGATTTTCTTGTTGCTGTAACTTCTTGTCATCCCTTTTCCTGCTAAAGTGTAGTTCCGTGGTCCACGGCTTCTACATGCAGTTTGTGTAAATGTTGATGAAACCAAAGTTGGTGTAAAATACTTCAGTGAAACAACATCCTGTGAATCAATGGATAGAAACTTTGTGGCTTTTTTGAATGGGTACTCATACTACATCTATTCAGCTATTAGATCTAATCCGTGCCGGCATAGTTAAATGAGAATGGACTACAAAAATTCCTAGGTTCAGTAACCTTGAATAAAAGGAAACAATGTAAATTAACTATATTAGGATTCCAAATGTTTTTGTCTAGTTGAATTCATGTAGCAAGTTGTTTCTGTAGTAGCGGACAGCAGGCAAATTTCCTCTGCAGAAACTTTTCCTCTGTTTTTTTTTAAATTTAGATCTCTAGGGAGATTAATTTGTTGATTGCTAGATCAGGGCCCTCCTCTAAAGACTTGAGGGCTTGTAGTTGACACAACCTTTAGTTGCCTCAGCTGTTCAAGACTTGGCCAAGAACAGTATTAGCTGTGCTGACATTAGGATGTCTAAAAAAATGAAACATCTATGAAATACTCATCTTTAAGGTCCCTTCCAACCCAAACCATTCTATGATTCTATTACAATGAATCTGAGTAAACTGCCTGTCTTTCAGTAACTTTTTGTTGCTGAACAGTAAATACTGAGAAGCAGCTCAGCACTTAGAAACAAATATGTAACTTGAGCCAGTACCTATTGAAATTATCATCATATGTTACTTTATTATGTTAAATTATTATGTTACTTTATTAAGTAACAACTGCTAAAGATACATCTATAGATAATATTGTTGGCAATTAATCGTAAATGATACAAGTCAGGATACAAGTTAATGATACAAGTTCAGTTAAATGACTGAAATGATACAAGTTCAGTTTCCCAAAAAATTAACATGGCAGTTTCTCTGGGCTATATTTTGTACAGTTAGATTTCACATCCAAAATATCAAATATCTGTAAATACCAACTTACTATGCATGCTATGGTCCATGCACGGCTCATCGTTTATGCGCAGATTTCTTGCTGAAGTTATTAAACTGCATGCATAGATTGAATTCAGTGTAATTTTAAAACTTGTCTTCTTACAGGTTATGTACCAAATTTCAGCCCTATGCAACTGAAAAAAAAAAGTCCTTTCTCTTTTCTTTGAATTTTACTTTATGTAATGTATTCAACAAGCTTCTTGGAAGTAAAATGTAAATGAAGAAGCAAAGGAGGAGGATTTTAGCATGCCTTAGGGGTGTCTGTATCAGAAATAGATCATGTATAACTTGAGTTGTTTGTGGGTGAGTGAACATCTTACAGCAGCCCATGGCAGCAAGACAGGGGAACCTTTACACGGCTGTGAAGAGAGTATGTGCAGTCCTCATAAGGCACAAAAAGAAGGGAAGGTCTGGCAATCCCTGTTTACAGAGTTTTGCAGTAGTGTAAAAAGTAGACCACACTGAGAGTGCATATGCTCGTATGAAAATATCATAACCTTTTAAGATGGAGGTGAAGATGGAAGATCAAGTGCAGCTGAGTATGTACTATTAAAAGTAATGTTCAAAATATCTGATGCACTTTGAGAAAGCAGGGTGGAAATAACTGTCTGTGGTACAGTTGACTTTCAAAAGTGCCCTGTGGAGTGTGATAAATTGCTTCTTCCTCCCTTTTGTCCGGGACATTCTCTTCCTTGCTAGAGAACCTCTCTTTGAAAAACTGTCAAGATGGATGCAGAATGTGAGTGCCATTCTCCAGTTTAGCATGCCATATCTTTGCATGGTGGAGTGAATGCAGGGTTGTGATTTCTTCATACTTGACATAATTAAAGTAAGAATTGAGAAAGAAGTGAGGAGTATTTTTCTACAGTCTCTTCCCTCTACTGTTAACATTCTTGTCTTCAGCGTGCTTCTTCATCACATCTACTATTTGTGTTGCTGTACAACTCTTCCATTTTGCTCAGGACTGCGCCTTGTGTTGGAATGTCCTTGTCAGAATTTTTCTAATTTCTATTGTAATCTTTATTTGGTGCAGAGTTTTTCTCTGTAGAAACTAACTTATCCTCACCAGTCCTTGGATGCTGTCGTAAAAAAGGCTTTAATCTCAAGTACTCTAAGTTCAAGAATAAGTGCTGTTTAGGATTATGCTTTCAGATACATAAATCTTTCCTTTAAAAAATAGAATCATGCATACATTCATTTAAAAAAATGGAATCATATAACATTGCCAAGTGAGACGAATAGTCTTTGTTATGGAACCTATCAGAAAGCCATTTTAAGATGTACTCATTTGAAAACGTTGATAAATGTAGATTGATAAAATCCTAATTTTACACCATTGCCCTCCAGTCCATCCTGAGAAATTAACTAAAGAGAATTCTCATACTTGTATTTCTTCTCTGTTGAAGAGTGTAGGGGACCCTCGTAGTCCACTTCTGGAAACTTGGCCCCTTATTTCTCTTACTTTCAAGTATTGCCATTTCTGAGTGAAAAAATTGCTAAGATAATTGGATGTGTTGGAGATAACATATTAGCAAAAGTGGTTACATGTGGTAGTGTTACATTTTTATGTCAGTCATTTTAGCAGCTTTTTGTTTCCTCAGTAAAGACTCTGGATTTTATTTTTGTTGAGATGCTTATTTTGTTCTTATGGTGATTTACTAGTTCAAAAATGTTGAAACAGAGTTACTAAAGCCGTGAAGAAAATCTTGAAATGTCAAGATATGGACCTATATTTTGGATCTGTGCCTCTCAGGTTGGGATATCCGGTTGTTCTGTTCTCTCATATGAGACATGCATTATTTATTTTTTGCTTATTTTTCTAATTTCATCTGCAATTTCCCTATAGCTTTGCTCCACTGGAGGTAGTTACAACCTATATTCACTTGCATACCTTTTTATTTTCACCTAATGATCAAGGGTTGGATTTCCTGTAGCATTTGTTAAAATAAATGATTTGTTATTCATTAAGACTATAGTAACATTTTAAGACCAAAATTCACAACTGCCAGTAGCCTTCCAAAATATCTATTTTCTCTATCTTCGGGCAGCTGCATCTTCTGACAGTCTCTAGCGAGTTGGCTTCAGTCTTGTAGGGTAAGGACTGCTAGCTGCCTCGTAAACTAATAGCTTGAGTTATGTATCTCAAATTTCCACGTGTTGACCTATAACTTTTAACCCAAAGTTAAGTTTCTTTCTTTACTGTTTTCTTTCTGCAACAGCTGGAATATCATCAATAACATGCAATGCATAAAAACTCTGCTGATGTGGAATAAAGCCTTGCTAGTCTGAATAATAGCTGTGAGTTCTGAATACCAATGGAAATGAAGCATATGGCTTTTTTTTTTGACCAGTAAACATTTACCAAAAAGAATGAATGGTACCAACAGAGTTTCACATTGTAACATAGAAGTACTTTGCTAGAGTAAATCTAATGATATAACAAATGCTCACAACAACAATAGACTATAATAGAACTTTGTGGAAAGTGAGACAACCAAAAAAAAAGGGACATTGAAATGTTGTGACACCGTATGGGATTTTGAGTGTTATACAGTATATACAATACCAACTGAGCAAAACAGAATATGTAAATGTGTGAATTTATATCATTTTAGTAGGAATAAAATCTCTGGATCTTGGTTTAGAATAGGCATTCTGAAAACGGTGCTATTTGCAGCTGTTAATTGGATTACAGTATTTCAAGGTACCTATACCATTTCTGTCATTACATACCTATATTTACACGTAGTTTACAAGGAGTTATTAGTTCAGCTTTCCAAGTCTGGTACTGTATAACTTCTTGCTCTGAACTTCCTTCTTTCATATGTGCACATGTACATGCACATGCTTGTACACATAAACACACACAGTAATTTTTAAAGAGCTGTTGAAAGTAGATTTCTTGTCACTATGATTTCACTATGAAAATAGAATATATTATCTACTGATCTCTTATGAATTATTGCCATAATAACTAAAACTGAAGGTAAAATGACAAAATACATTCTATTGTCTGATTTCATTTTAAATGCTGCAACTAATTAGTAGCCAGTTACCTTCAAGTTTTGTAGTGATTTCTGGAAACTAGTAAGGACAGTTGTACTTTGTTAGAACTTACTTCCTGTGGCAACTTTTCAGAGGTAGCACTTCCCATTTTAAAATATTCTTCATTTTGTTTCAATACTTTTATGCTAAACTAGGCAAAACTGCTTCCTGGCCCTTTTCCTACACTTGTAAAAGCATATTCACGTCTACTTCACAAATATATTAAAGAGCACAGTGAAGGATTGACAAAGAGAAGATGTGTTCATATGTACATTTTAAAAAATTTCTATAAGATATGATAATGGATGTTCATGTTTTCTGCAAGATTAAATATTTTTCTTTGCTTCTATCCCTGTAATATCGCTTTTAATTTTCTCTAGATGCTGCTATGTCAGTTAGCAAAAAGGAAGGAGAATAAACCTTTTTCCCTACTTACAGTGAGAAGAGACTTAAATTTCAGTCTACCTAGTACAAGAACAAACCTCCTCCATGTAAAGTTTGTGCTTTGCATGATCTGATTGTCTGCTTCAACCTGTTTCTTCTGACTTATGGCCTGTTTCTCTTTTTTTATTTCTGTTAACAGAAAGCTGACCTTGCAGTTGCACCATTGGCAATTACCTATGTTCGAGAGAAGGTCATCGACTTTTCCAAGCCCTTTATGACTCTTGGAATAAGTATTTTGTACCGCAAACCCAATGGTACAAACCCGGGCGTCTTCTCCTTCCTGAATCCTCTCTCCCCTGATATCTGGATGTATATTCTGCTGGCTTACTTGGGTGTCAGTTGTGTGCTCTTTGTCATAGCCAGGTAACATGTCAACTTTTGTGATTTTTTTGGCAATTGTTATAATCTTTTTCTAACTAATAATTGTCAAAAGTCACAAAAATTTTCTTACTTTCATACTTATATTTTAACTTCATGATGTGCAGAACAATAATCAATGATGAGGGTTCTCACTATTAATTTTCTCCACTGTCATATTAAGTCTCCAGTTTGTTGTGTTACTCAGTCTTGAGTATGCTAGCTAGCTTTCTCCTTTTATTTACATATTTAGAGACACTAGAAAGCTTATGAAGTGTCTTTTCCCAATTGTACTGTTTAGAAAGGCAGGGGTTCACATACTTTATTTCGTTAGTCCAATTTAATTTGATGCTATGGTGTTTTAGCTCAATTTGAATACTTAGCTGCCCATGTTAATCCTAGATGTCCAAACTGGGCCTCTACCTGTTACAAAAAAAGTTACTTTATGTACACTAGTATCTTAGAAGCAGGGCAACAATATTTAGTTTTTAATTATGTGCTAGGTAAAATCCCTGATATACCTCACATAATTTAAAGTCCCAGATTGGAATGTATTTGGAAACATGTTTAGCTGAGCTTCCAGAGTTAAGGAACTCAATACAGTTGTTAAATTATACATTGATTTGATATATAGGGCTCACTTTTTTATCTGTTTTCAACATAGACAAGCAGAAAAATATCTTTTGTCAAAAAATCACATTATATTTACGTTTTCCTTGTTAAGTAATTAGGACTAACTCCAGATGCTCACTGAAATATTGTCTTACATGTTATAACTTTGACTTCTGCTGTGACAGCAAAAAAAAAAAAAATTCAGAACAGTAAATCGTCAGTTCCCAGGGGTGTAAATGTAATCTTTTTTGCAGATTCCTCCTAGCAGTCACTTCCAAAAATGCTTTTTTAGTCAAATACGTATAAACTGTATTGGCTTTTACTTTTTTTTTTTTTTCTGTCTATAACAACGATTTTTAGAAGCATATGTTTGACTTGATAATACAATTTCACTTCAGATATGATATTTTTATGATTTCATGCTGTGGTACACAGTCGAGTCTTCGTATTTTTGTTTTCCTATTGTGCTGTAGTTGATATCAGGGTTCTCCATCTTTCTTTGATACTATCAGCTTCATTTTGGAGAAGTTATATCATTCCTCTGCTAAGGGGAGAGGTAACGTTTTTATAAATCAGTTTAAAAGTAATTTAGTAAGGTCACTGATACATAAAGTACATGAAGTTTTGAAGTAATATAGATAACACTGAAGCATGTTCTGTAACAAATAACTTTGCTTGTGTGCCACCTTTAAAAGTCTGCTTTAAAGACTTATGTTGAAAGTTTCTTGAAGGAATAGTAGATTTTAGTGGACGATATAACCAGAGAGTAAACTAATTTCTGAGGTGTTCTTGTTATACGGGTACTTCTGAAAGCACAGTTGAACATAAATCACAAATGTTGTCTTGTGAAACACCTCATGTAAACTGTATGATGTCCAAAAGATATGGATGTCCAAAAGTTTTAACCCTGTTGTTATCACTGAAGGACATTTTCAGCATGATACACAGTGCTTTTGACAGGCAGCTCCCAGTAATGTTAGTATGAGTTGTATGGCTTTCTTATGCTTTGAAAATGTGTCTTGTCATATTTTGTAGGAAAGATACATTTTCTTGAAGCCTTTTGTTTTATTGAGCTATTCAGTCACTTGATCTCACTAGCAGAACTGGAATTAATGTATTTTCTTAAACAGAAGCACCATATAATAGACCAGTATTGCTGAACTTTTTTTACTTGTCTATTTTTGTGACCAGCACCATAAATTCCTTATTAATTTTATTGTAAAGCAATGTGGAATACGTTTCATACTGAGCAGAGTTTTTTTGTAAAGTTGTATAAAATACATTTTTATGCCTAAGTTTATATCAGCCTTCAGATCTAGAGATTTTTAATACCTCTTAACTTGTACAATCAAATACTGATAACACATTTTGAAATAAAACATCTAGGATTATGTAAGACAATCTACAGATTTTATTCATAATGAAGAATGACTTAATAGTATGTGGTAGCATTTTCTGACAGTATAGTTCATATAGGGAAACAGGTCTAAGTCAAAAATGTAGTCTGATGAAAAATGAAGAGAGAAAAGAATATTATTCAAAAGTAAAAGAGCCTTTTATGAATATAATTCACAAAATGTATCTGTCATGTAAAAGGAGACGCTGCTAACTGAAGTGTGGTAGTGAGGAGGACTTTGCAGCATAGTGCTGACTATGTATTCTCAGTACAGGTTATAAATTAGGTATTGCACAGCTGATGACATATTTTTCAGTCCTGGTGTCACGAAACTGTTGGACTGTATGCCACTAAATTAATAGGTTTCACCTAGAGTGTCTTATTAAGAAGATTTCTATTTCATAACAATCTTTCCATAATGAATGTTTAAATACACGTGTTTCATAATAATTGCTGTGTGTTTCATAATAAGGTGTATCTATGTTTGGAGCGGTACTTATTCTGTCTTTGATTATATGATGTTTTGTAATTACAGCTCATCAGACTATTCAGTGTAGTATATTTATTTTTAGATTTCAACCTCCCTTTTTTGTGTCAAATGTTTTGTGATTTTATTGTTTTACCATGTCTTCCAAACAGTGTTGGAATGTAAGAGCTTGGTACATTGCAAATGGAAAGTGCAGTTTTGTTGCAGTACTTGGATTTCACCCATTAATTTGTGATATAGTCCTACTTAGGGAAAAAATGAAGAAATTAGTAAAAGGTTCAGGAATCTTTGAGAGAGAATTGCTGAAAGAACTTTTGTAGAGTAACATTTCGTGTATACAAGGGGAAAAAATGTAATATAAATCTTTATTAGTCAAAAAAGTGTTGGATTTTCCTTCCAATCTGAGAACCAGATACAAAGAACTAGAATCTTTGCATACTCAACAAGACAAAAAGCTAGGAGAGAGTTATTTGTTAGCTGGGGGGCTTTTCTGTGTCATTTTCCTCTTGTAGTCCCCGCGAAAATGATGAGTTATCTATTTATGTGGAAGTTACAGATTTTGCACTGTGGATAGAATGAACATATAGGTGACGTGTTGTACACAGTGTTTTCTTTAATTGTCATTCTTTGTGGGGAATTATAGTAGGCTGTGATTTCTCCATATAGATGAAAACCTCTTAATCTTATTTGCTTTGATTGTTGAATCAAAGTAGTTATGTCGGTTAGTCTCTAAAAGTTCCTTTCTTTGTCGTACAGGCTGATGACTGATAGGGAAACCCAAGCTACTTGACACTAAGCCAATTACTTTTCTGTGAACCGAGAAAGTCATATAGCATTTTTTTTCTCTTGTGGCAACAGTAATGGATCTGTTTCTGATGCTAGCTAGCAGTGTCTTTGTGTCACTGCTGGCAGTGTCTTGTGTCATCTGATGTCTTGTTGCATTACAATTCAAATGCTTTTTTGCCTCTGCCTTTACTTGTTTCCTTGATTTAGAATCCCAGTTAAATTCACAGTTTACATGTGATTAGAAGGAAAACTAAGACTGGAGTAAAGTATGCCAACTCCTTTTTGGAATTCTGTCAAGTACACAACATTTTCTGATCTGTATAACGAAAGATCTTGATTGGTAGAATTTCCTTTCATTTCTGTCTGTTGATGCAAACCATTGTTTCATTTCTAAGAACATGCTGATTTCTTACAGTGTTGTGTGCTAACTACATAGACACATACTGTCCCTTCTTTTCCATTAGTCTGTGTATATGAAACAGCTGTTCCATATTTTTGGTCTCTGCAAAATCTGACGTGTTGGTAACTGAAGGATACTTCCCATTCTTCATAAGCAATATGAAGAAAATCAGTTTCATAGGTTTAAAAATGCTAAATATGTTTGATTTACATAGGTCTTCCAAATTAATCTTCAGCTGGCTTTTCTCATGGGGTCTCTTATCTATGATTTTAAACATCCATGTCTTCATTAATCTTTTCTGGAAACACAGATTGGAGGCTAAACACCTTAAATATTTTAATCCAATCATTTTCCACTCAATTTACCTCATTTCAAGTTACTCCTTGCACATTGAAGTGTTTCTCTGTGTACTAAGGTCTGTTTCCTGTGAACATGTCTGTCTGTCATAAAACAGTGCACTTTTGAGTGACCTGTCTTCATAACTGGAAGAGATACACCTGCCTTACCATGATGCTTCACCTTTATGGATCATCTGTGAAGCAGATAAACTACCAGGGATAAATGGTCCACTAATGAGCTCTTATGCTTCTTATACTGAGCTGTCTAAAGCATCAGTGAATATTGTATAAATATATATTAAACTGTGTTCACTGCCCTAATTGCTAATATCAAATCATGGGTTGTCATTTAAAAGGGCTTGATTCACCTTTACTCGTACCACATTCTGTATGTTAGAACTTCTTGCTTTTTCCTCTCTTCAGCAGAATTATGGTATCCTCCTTTTTGTAAGTCAGGCCTTTGTGCTGGTTTCAGCTGTCAAAACATTTAGTATCAATTATTTTTCCTTTTCCTTGTAAGCAGTGATAAAAGCACAATGAACATTGCTTCATCACCAAATTATATTTTTCTCTTACCAGCTGAAAAAAAACGTAATAAAAGAAGACAAGAGTTTTAAAAATGTCTCCACACATTTATCTTAATCTTTTCTCTGTGAAGAAGCTTAAGAATAGCCTGCTGCTTCAGACTTGAACAGACACCTGAGCTTTATCTCTCTCTGGAGTGCATGTGTATCCTTTTACATGTCATCAGTCTTCATTTTTATTTCATATTTTTTGATCAGCTGATTTCTGTCCTTGGGCTTGTCTGACTGGCTTTCAAGCTACTCCTTGAAAACCATCTTGATGGAAAGGAATTAATGCCAGAATGAGAGGGAACTACTTTTCCAGTTACTATGGAGCTCTGCTTACTAGACTACTATGTTGATATTTACTCAAGTAGAAAGTTAGCATATTTGCCCTTTATTCTTAACAAGCATTCTTCCTATGAGAA